CTGCCATCATCTGCCTGCCCTCAGCGCCCGTGATCACCTTTCCGTGGAAATCACACAGGATGGAGCCCTTGCCGAAGGGCTTGGTTGCAACAACTCCTGTGGTCAAAAAGAGGGAGTCATTACTGTGCTGTCCATGATGTAATTATAGTCATGTTTTGGATGGATTTGACTGTATTTGTACATACCTTGTCCTTTCTTCCCCCCTAAATCCTTCACAGCCAGACCTGGCCATTTCTGCCTGGTCACCCCCCTGACGATGGCCGGGTCACTCTGCGCCTGTGCCTTGCTGAGCGGCCTCCACTTTGCCACTATGTCCTCTGGGCGGGGATGATTGGCCGTCCACCCCTCTGCTTCAATGATTTTCGCCACCTTCACTAGTGTCGGGGCACATCTTGAGCATTTTGCTGTCAAAGAGAGAACATTTAAATTAATAAAATTAATATTCAGACACGAGTTGTAAATGTTTGGCTAAGAAAGTATCTACACTTACACAAAAGATGTTGCTCCCGCTTGCCGTACTGCAGAGCCCTCCACTTGTCATAAAAGGCTCTATCGGTGGGGAACCCAGCGTCTGCTCTCTGCGTTTTGTTGGGTGGCTGGCCAGTGATTCCTACAGGGAAGACCTGTAGAAAGACTTTAAAGTCCGGGGTTGGGCTGCCCTCTTTTTCCACTCGCATTTTCTTCTCTTCCCGGGCACCCTCTTTGCCAGAGTCGTCAGAAGAGGAGCTGCAATATTGAAAAGGTTTCCAGGTTACACACTGACAAACAGGTGGATGAGCACTGAGAGACATTATAATTATTAATATTTAATTAATAATTGACTGTTTCAGATGATTACATACCGTGTCAGGGAGCTGAGCAGGTTCGCGGTCGCCACAACAGTGTCCAGGGTCTTCATCCTGTAGTGCTGGTTTGCCACAGCAGTCGAATGGGCCATGTAGTGTGCCACAGACGCCTTCTGCTCCTCCGTGAAGTTGGCAGCAGCATGTGTCTCCACGGTCCTACGAATTTCCTGGCTCTTGATGTCCGGCAGTTTGTAGCTGCAATGGGGGAGAAATATCAGATGAAGCTCCCAAACTTGAATTATATAATTTTCTTGAGGCTGATCTATTTATTAAATGCACAAATCCGTTACGCTAATTCAACAGATATTTTTGGACCTATGGACTGCTGTTAATACTTACTGCGCGTGCAGGCGAGTGACGTCATTGCCCGCACTCCTGAGCTTTGTGCCCGCTGTGGACAAAAACAGCCTGTCTTCATTATCTTGACCCGGGCGGATGTAGTCAGGGCGGATCCACATGTAGTATGCGTCCAGCATCTGCAGAGACAAACAAAAAATATCTGTTAATATCTGTTGGTTCATTGTTGGTGTTACTGTATTTCATGGTAAGACAATTTAGCTTGTATTAAGCGTACTTACTGCAGCCTCCTCCATAGTGAGGGCAAACACAGCAATCTGCATTGTCGCAGTCTTGTGGTCGCTGAAAGCCACGCACACTTTGCCCCCAGCATTTTTTCTCTTCGCCCACTCTGCTATCTGAAAAAATAAAAATACACACAGAGTGAATAACTGACATAAAGGCCCTCTTCGCAGGCTACCTAATATACCCTAATATTGCCCCCTAAAATACTCCCACGAAAACTGAGGTCTTACCGTCATTCCCTCCACCGCCCCCGGTCTCTGGAAGTGACCGAGGATCAGGATTGCTTCACAGTAGTACCGGTACAGCGTCTTTTGATCTGAAGCCACGTGGTCGCCTTCCATCAGCCTCCCATAAATGGACAGCATGTCTTTCTTGGCCTTCCGGAGGACTGCCTGGCACTCCTGAAGGCTCCTCTGACCCCCGTGGAACCGTTCATACCTAGAATGACA